GTTTACAGCTTTGGCCCCTTAGAGGGAGCTTCTGTTGCTTTCACTCAGGGGAGCATTGAAGAATGTAGATCCTCCTCACACAGCAGCAAGTCGTGGATGATGCCAGATGAACAATTTAAAGCCCCACTCATCTGGTTTGTTGGAAATATACTGGTGAGGAGTGCCAGCTCTTGTGGCTCCATATGAAAGCATGACCTCAAACACGCTGTGGTTGAAGGTGGATGGCATCATGAGTGTCATGCCACAGGACCATGTGATTTTTAGCCATATAATTGTTTAGCGTCCATATAGCACAAATTATAATTTTGAAAACTTACTAATATTAATTTACCAGCTACGGTAATTTGGTTAAAAGCTAATCAGTTGTGATATTCTTGATTTTTACAATATTTACTAATATTAACTCAGAAAGTTACAAAACTGACTTACTGAGGAAATTCTTTCAGCATATTCTTGCTGTGCTAACACTTAATGTGATTTATCAACACTGTCATATATCAAAAAATTATATCTTCCTGCCTTAGTTTGATCAAAAACACTCAAAATATGTTGGACGGTTTTTTGCTTCTGACTTCCTGTTTGGGAGAGGTTTAAGAAGAGCCCACAGTTTCCACTCACAGCGCCTCCTGGTGGCTTTTTTTGGCGTTACAGATGAAAAACCAATTGGTAGAAAAGACTCAACAAGGCAGGTCAACGTCAGTGAAAGCCTCAGTTAGGGCCTGAAAATGTGCTCTACCAAAGGTTGACCGGAACGCTAAAGGGTTAAAATGAATAAAAGCATAAATAAGAGGAGTGTGTGTGTGTGTGTGTGTGCAGATCTACATGCAGCTGAATATCCGGGTGGTTCTGGTTGGTTTGGAGATCTGGACTCAGCAGAACCAGATCAGCACCGACGGAGCTGCTGGAGAAGTCCTGAATCGCTTCACCCAGTGGAGGGAGAAGGAGCTGGTTCCTCGCCGCCGCCATGACTCAGCACAGCTCATCCTGTCAGTACACACACACACGCTGTTGCTGTTTTGTTTGTTACTGCATGTGATTGTATCGTGTATCAGGTGATGATGATGGTGATGATGATGGTGTCTGTGCAGGAGGAAGAATTTCGGACAGACGGCCGGGATGGCGTTCGTCTCCACTGTCTGCTCCAGGAGTCACGGAGGCGGGATCAACGCGGTACGCCACCATGCGTGCAGACTAAATACATTCAGTTTTATGAAACACACCAAAAACATTGAAATGATTGTTTCTGCGTCTGTGGCGTCGATTTCACTGAATCGCACGTCTGGGAAAAAGAGAAATAAAAGATCTGGATCCTAATGACAGCTTTAGAAGGAACTCCATCTCCCAGGGTGCATTTCAGTGAGACGTGACTGAACTGTGCTCTGTGTCCTTCAGTTCAACAACAACCTCGTGGTCTCGTTCGCCTCCATCGTGGCTCACGAGCTCGGCCACAACCTCGGCATGAACCACGACGACGGCCGACAGTGCACGTGTCCCACCGGCGCCTGCATCATGAACTCTGGAGCCACGTAAGACGCACACGGCGAGCTACGCCGCACGCTCACACGTGCCCGCACACACTCACACTCACTCCTAACGCGTCTCCTCTCTGCAGAGGGTCAAAGAACTTCAGCAGCTGTAGCGCCGATGACTTTGAGAAGATGATCCTGCTGACGGGGGGGGCGTGCCTGCTGAACGTCCCGCGGCCCGACGAGGCCTACAGCGCCCCCTACTGTGGAAACAGGCTGGTGGACTTCGGGGAGGAGTGCGACTGTGGCTCAGAGAAGGTGTGATGTGTAGAGGATGAGTTAGACATGCCTTACATTCGATTTGACCCACTTTGATACGACGTGTGCCGAAACAGCGGCGACGCTCCTGGCAGTCAGGGCCCGCCCAGATTCAGTGATTTATTACACAACTCGAGCTACTCGTCAGCGGGAAGTCCAACATCTACGCCGTCCACGTGTTCCACAGCTGTGCGGTGGACCAGCTGGCTCCCGGGCCTTATGTTTGACATCCCTGTTTTATATTAACGTGTCACTGTTGTTGAGTTTTCCTGCACACAGAAAATGAAGACAAAAAAGTTTCGCTTTGTGGGTCATTTTCACGTCTTTGTGCGATTTTCTAACGTTTAAAATGATTTTACGCCAGAGACAGAAACTTCCTGTTTAAACCCGGTCACGTGATCGACCACGTGTGTGTCTGTGTGTGTGTGCAGGAGTGTGAGGAGGACCCCTGCTGTGAGTATCGGACCTGTAAGCTGAAGTCTGGAGCTCAGTGTGCGTACGGCGAGTGCTGCTCCAACTGTCAGGTAAACACAGCGAGCCTCGTGACACACACACACACACACACACACACACACACACACTGTGCGTGCGTGTTGGGCTCTGTAACTGTGTGCTTGTGCGTTCAGTTCCTGCCGGGGGGAACCGTGTGTCGCGCCAGCACAGATGAGTGTGACCTGCCTGAGTTCTGTAACGGCTCCTCGTCCTTGTGTCAGAGCGACGTCTTCATCCAGGTGAGGTCCGCTGCATTTACCTGAGCAGGTGAGCTGCTGGCTGAGCTGTACTTCATCACATCTGTGTGTGTGTGTGTGTGTGTGTGTGTGTGTGTTTCAGAACGGGCAGTCCTGCAGGAACCAGGAGGCCTACTGTTACAACGGGAAGTGTCAGCACTACGACAGCCAGTGTCAGGCCATCTTTGGAGACAGTACGTACCTCTGTACGACTTCATCTTCTCTCCTCTCCCTCATTACTCAGCAGCTGACCCCCCCTTCTCGCCCCTCCTCCTCCTCCTCAGAGGCGAAGGCGGCTCCTGAGCTCTGCTTCAAAGAAGTCAACAGCAAAGGAGATCGCTTCGGCAACTGTGGCTACCTCAACAACGGCTTCAAGAAGTGCGAGAGCAGGTAACACACACACACACACACACACTTCCTTAGGGTCCGTCCCAGTGTGAGGAGCTGAGACTGATGATGTCACAAAGTTCAAGTCCCACGCAAGTTAAACGCACCTCCAGCTTTGACCTGATGGTGGCGCTGTGTGATGTGTGCACTCCAAACCGTCACTACACCTGTGTCGCTACCAAACCGGGAAAACCTGAACAAACTCCATCTCCCAGGGTGCATTTCAAAGCCCCGCCCACATGACTGTGCTGTGTTCAGGCGTCTTTCCCACAGTCCGTCTTCGAGCCTCCTCCTGAATCCTCCGATTCTTGTCGAAGTCGCCGCTTCCGTTTTCCTCATCGTGTTTGTTGCCATAGAAACGCCATGTGTGGGAAACTGCAGTGCTCCAACGTTCAGGCGAAGACGGTGTTTGGCATCGAGCCGTCGATCATCAGCACGCCAATCGCCGGAGGGAAATGCTACGGCGTGGACTTCATGCTGGGGTCGGACGTCCCCGACCCCGGGATGGTGAACGAAGGGACCAAGTGTGGAGAGAACAAGGTGAGGAGGAGGGAGGAGGGAAGGGGATGAGGAGTGAACAATGAGGTGTTAAAGCTCGTTTCTTCTTCTGCGGCGCTCAGGTGTGTGTGAACTTTGAGTGCCGCAGCGCCGACGTCCTGAGCTACGATTGCGATGTGCACACCAAATGTCACGGACACGGGGTGAGTCGCCTGCCTGTGCTCCTGCCTACCTGTCTGTCAGGTGAGTCACATGACTCAGGTGTCACCTGTCTGTGTGTCGCAGGTGTGCAACAGCAACAGGAACTGCCACTGCGACTATGGCTGGGCTCCGCCTTCCTGCGAGTTATCGGGTTACGGTGGAAGCGTTGACAGCGGACCCACGTGGAACGGTATGTCACCTGGAGAACTCTGACTTACCTGAGGGCAGGCGTCCCGTGTTAACGCGCCTCCTGTGTGTGCCCCTCCCCCAGATAAGGACACGTCTCTCAGGGACGGCCTGCTTGTCCTCTTCTTCTTCGTCCTCCCGCTGCTCGCTCTCGGCGTCTTCGTTTTCCTGCGCAGGAACGAGCTGCTGCGGCGACTCGGGCTGAGCCGCAGGAAGAGGTCTCAGGGATATGAGTGAGTGCATGCACACACGCCGCCACGGCCGCAGGAACCACGTGTTCTCTGTGCTGCGTTTAGGGACACTGAATATAATTGTAAACCATTAGCTGCACGTGTGGCGCTGCTCTCACGCTCATGTCTCCCTCAGGGCTGACGGCATGGCTTCAGCCAATCACAGCAGGAGACCGCCTCCCAGAGCGCAACCTCCATCTGTTGCCCGGGGTAACGCCAATAACATCGTCAGAGACGGGGTAAGTTTAGGGTTCACATGAGAGTTTACGTTTTCCCTCGTTTTACACACACCTGCCTCACCTGTCCGTCCAGGTGTGTGATGATGTTTGTAGCATCAGCAGTCGCTCCTGCAGCTTTACCCGGTTTGTTCTGTGTGAGCAGTGAGCGTTACAGAGTGGGCGTGTCTACAGAAGGTTACAATTAAAAATCTTCAGGTGGACACGCCCACACGGCCTCCTGCTGCTGCTGCTGATGATGATGATGATGATGTTACTAATGACACAGATCTGCTGTGACCCTGCTGATCAGGAGGCTGAGAATGGAGACGGTGATGATGCTCTCCCGGTAAGCCTCAGTGTAGAAGCTGAAGTTAGATGTAGTGATGAGCACACCTCAGCACGAGAGCACCAAACACAGTTATTGATCACTGTGTCGTTAGATGACCTCACAGACTGGACGATCAGCTGATCGCTTACAATCAGTGACAGACTGTACTAACCAACCGAGCAGCTGATCTGCATCGACCAGCATCTAACTGGAACTGAAGCGGCTGTCTGCACGGGTTATTGATGAGCTGATTAAGCTGTGTGATTAATCACTTTAGTGTGTGTGTGTGTGTGTGTGTGTGTGTGTGTGTGTGTGTGTGTGTGTGTGTGTGTGTGTGTGTGTGTGTGTGTGTTGATGGACTGCATGAGCTCTAACACGCTCTGCTCTCTCTCCATGTGAAGCACCACGCTCAGCTGCTGCCACCACAAGAGGTAAACCCTGCTTACTTCTCATTACCGCTCTAACTACTGCTGCTGATGTAGTGTTAGCTTAGTGCTGCGTGTCTGCAGGTTAATCATCACAGCAGGAAACTAGAAAGCAGCTTTCACTAACCCAATGACATCAGGTAAACTGGGAGAGTCAGACAGGCCAGGTAGATCGGTGTGAGGGTTTGAATGGGACAATGACTCGCAGGTTTACCCAGGTGTACTTCCTCTGTGTGTGTTCAGGTGGTGGAAACCAGCCGGACGGCTCCTTCCCATGCTCTGAAGCCGCCACCGCCTCCTCTGTAAGAAGTCGCGCACCACCACATGCACCGAAACACAAACCGAAAACAATCTGAGCACAAAAACTGTCAGTCAAACCTGAAATGTGGAAACTTCACTTTCAAACTAAAAGTTGTATCTTTTTAAACATTTGACGCTACAGCGTATGTTTCCAAAAAATACAACTTTTTGCATTAGCTTCTAAATGATTTGATCTAACTTGATGTTAACTAGTTATAGAAGCTAGCCTTAAGCTAATGGTTCTTAGAAGCTAAATTTAAGCTACTGAGCCTTAGATGCTAACTTGAACTGGACAATTGGACTTAACAGTTAATGGAAGTCAAAGCTGTACCCGTGGCTAATGCCAAATCGACTGTATTTAAAAATAATTTTAAGCCAACTGTGAGCTTGCTGGTTACTAAAATGCAATTTAATTTTAAGCTAAATTGTCTTCTACTCTTCTAGATTTAATAAACTTAAAAGCTGCATTTAAGCTAAGTGGATGTAAATATGAGCCAGATCAGGGCTCTAGGCTAACTTTTTGCCATGCGTGCACCGGTGCGCCTAACTCAAATTTTTCAACCACATCGCTTAACACCGCAGTTTTACATGTGCACTTTTTTTGAGGGGGGGGAAGTTGCAGTCCATACAGACAATATTCATTTCTAAAGTATTAACTATCAATCTTGTGCTTAAAGTGCGTTGGCACTCTTTGTCAATATTGTAGAAAATGTTAAACATCATCTCGGCTCCTCTGACGACCTGTTTGCTGCTGAAAGGCCGTGGGCAGAGGGGACACTCGGGCATTTATCGCAGCATATAATGTGTTTTCTGGACACACTGCTGCTTTTTCAGCATTCAGAGGTTGATGGCACCGTGTCAGAGCTGGCTATGAATTTCAGACGGATCAGGCCTTAACTTAACAAAAAAGTTATCAATCGTTCTTTTCATCTTTTCTTATCACCCTCAGCTGCATCCACTCTGTCAGGCCTAGGCTGCTCACTAGGGCTGGGTACCATCACTGATTTCTGTAATCCTGGGAAACTGTTCTTGAAGTACAGAGAGAGAGAGAGCTGTGCATGAAGTGTGATTTTTATCGTGGTGGAAGCAAAACTGATAAAAGAGGGAATTCATGACGACATTGATCAAATGTGAAGCGCAGTTTGCTGCTTCTTTTGCTGCTGGCTCGGTGGGTTTTGGTTGGAGAGACAAAACCTGCAGCTCAGAATCAGCGCAAAAAGACGTAAACGCAGCGCGGAGCCGACGCATCAGAATCGCTGAGCTCCGACGGCGTGTCCGTCTACGGGCCGTCAGGTGAGAAAGCCGACAAGACAAAGCTGATCCTGATGCGTCGGGTCTGTGTTTACGTCTTTGTGTGGAGTCCGTGTACCTGCTCTTGAAATAGTTTTGTGAGCTTTAATCTGAGAATCTGGCGTTTCTGGCAAAACACAGTTATATTTAAAAGTCTATTCAGGATTTAATGAATCGATATCGCTTTATTCAAGCTACTCACCTCCCACTTCCACCTGCACTTTCAACTGGACCACGGCCAATCAGAGAGGTCCCGCCCCTGACTATCTCTGATTGGTTTAGTCCACGATACGGGCAAAATGTGTGTCTGTTGTTGACCACAGGGAAGGTTGCAGAGATTTTTTTTTTTTTGTTACCCGAACACAATTTGGTGGCACCGGTGCGACCAAATTTTTTTTTAGTCGCACCACTGAAACATTTGGTCGCACTGAGCCCTGAGCCAGAGGAAGACATTTTGTTCACCCAGTAGCAAACTGACTTAATTCATATATTAACGTTAAAGCTAACTGGACTCAAGAGTAAAGAATTTAAAACTAACTACACACAGACACGAGCATTAATTTAACTCGACAAAGAAAGAAACTAGCTAATGTTAAGCTAATCCTAAACTGGATACAGCAGCTTACTCCTAATAGGGCAACACTAGATGGCCATAGATGGATAACATTTATAAGCTAGTCTTTAGAGTGGCTAGGTGCTAAGTGAACCCAGAAGCTAACTGCTGGTGTAGCTGTGTCTCTGCAGCAGTTTGAACTGTGGCGGAGTGATACATCATCTCAAACAGAGCGTGCACGCTGTGGTGTTAGTGGCCAGTCACAATGTAAACTCTTTTTCTTCTTCTTTCTTGCACAGAAAACTGAAACCTTCTGCTGCGTCTCAACCTCTGGTGCCTCAAAGACCTGCACCCGCGCCTCCTGTTTAACCAATCAGGGGTCTTCTAACGACACCTGGATGACACCCCCCCCCTTCTACTTATCTTCAAACCCTTCCCAGCGAACTCAGAGCTAGTTCCTTAGCAACAGCCAGGAACAATTCTGTAGCCACGATAACCAGCCGGCCAGACTGCACGGCCATCGCAGTGAAATGGATCCAGGTGGACCGGACGAGAAACTTTGCAGAACCTCCAGGAACCCAGCAGGTCCAAGCTGGAGCCGCTGCTGTTCTCTAACCTAACCAGGCAATCGGATTGTCCTGAAAGCACGAGTTCTTCTGATTGGTTGGTTTTACGAAGCCTGCTTAAGTATTTTTAAACTTTCTGATTTAGTCATGTGACCTTTCAAACAAAGTATAGCAAGTATAGCAGGCCATGTGGGCCTCTCTCTCTGATTGGCTGGTTTGTAGTTGTGGGTGGAGCATGTATCTGAGCACTGGTTTGTTTCTATCGTCTGGCTCGCCCTGCGTTCGCTCCCTCGCTCTTCACAGAACTGTAAATCTACGATATGCAAACAGCGTCTGAGCGCGTAGCTCCTCTGGTCTCAGTTCGTCATGCAGCATGGCGCCGTCTCTGCAGGGAACGAACGCTCACTAGGCGAGGCTGCTCTGTATGCCTCTACTGTCCAGGTATTTCCACCAGTTAAAATATGAGTCTGAGCTTGCAAAGCATTCTGGGAACCGTAGGCAGTCACATTTGGTACAAGCAAAGTGGATTAATCTGTCAGAATTGAAACTAAATGAGATGAGTTCAGACCTGCACTGAGAACATGTTCACTACAAGTCTGGGATCAAACTGAACAGCAGTACCTACCAGCTCCTCCCAACATCGTTCATTTCTTTCTTTCAAAGACTTTAGAAAACACACTCATTCCTGATTATTGTTACCAGTGTGACTGACTCAGTGGAGCTTTTTTTTAAATCTGTCGCTCTTCTGTTAAGGTTGAAGCTTTTTGTAGATCCACATGTTTCTTCTGGGGGGACACAGACCCCGTTTCACCAGTGTTTTAAAAATGAATTATGTCCAGTGGAAGCAGAACTTGAGCAGAAACATGAACTTGGGTGTAGCCTGCTGAGCATTCACAGAATGTGTGACGGCGTCTGAAGGTGGAACAAAGTCCTTGAAATTCTTGGCAATAATGTCCCGAGAGCGTCCACGCTTCCTGTCCCGGGCGAGCAGCGATCACGCTGAACTCTTCCCACATTCAGGGCGTCTGATTCAAACCAGGGATTTTTACACCACCGGTGAACCAAATGCTTGCGTTCTGCAGCTGACGAGCCTGGATGCACTGTGCTGTGTAACCACGTTGGTATTTTTAAATGCCTTTTTTCACTTACTTTGCTCTTTTGAGGGTTTTTGCACAGAAACTGAGGACTCCGCTGAGGATGTTGATGTGTTGCTCACAGGGCTATCTTAGTGCCATTTGACTGTTCATGCCAAAAAAATAAACCGTAGTCTGTGCTGAGCTCCTGAGTGAAGACAGTCGGACGCAGTTATTTAAAGAGCTGAGAGCAGCTGAAGCTTCAGGTTACAGGCAGCTGCTGACTGCAGCGTTTAAAGGGGATCCGTTCTTATCGTTTCCACCTCTGCACTTTGTCAGAGTAGCTTTTCATGATTCACAACTTAAATTAATCCAAATTTCTGTAATGCAATCAAAGCTTCACCTCACAAAGCTTAAAGTTAGCTTAGAGGCATCTCCACGGTGCAGTTAGCTTCAGGTGCAGAGTCAGTTTGGAGTTTGTGGGATGACTTCGCTCATAATTTAGCAAAGTCTCTGCTCCTGTTAGCTAGCTGCCTTAAAGTTAGCTGATGTGAAAGGTTTGTGGTGTATATCCGTTTGGAAGTTTGGCCATGTTAAATATGAATATTACAAAATTGTAAAATCAAAACTCTTGGTGCTCAGCAGCCATCTTGGTAATTTAAAGTGTTTATTTCTCCAGGTTAAGCTGACTTTAAGACCCTAATTTCATGAAATTGGGTGAATACATGTACTTTTACCAAAAACCCCAAACAGGTAAAAGGTCTCAGCACAGCTGGTGGTCCAGGTGGAAAAAGCTTTAAGTGTTATTTTGGGTCAGCACAGGCCAACGTGAAGCGGTCCCCTTTAAAGCCAATCAGACATCCTCAGTGGGGTTACATTCATACTGAACCTGTGTAAAAGATTTCATTTTCTCTTATTATGAATGATTTAATCATTTCTTTTTGCTTTTCACCTGTAATCTGTGGTCATTTGAACATTTAATTATTAACGTTGCTGCGTGGCGTGGAAGCCTCCGCGCTGACTGATGATTTTTATGATTCGATGGATGATCTCTCACCTGTTGGACAGGTTCAGGTTGTTACAGCCAGTGGAGCTCAAACTTGTGCTGCTTGCTGTGAAAACCAAACCTGGAAGAATAAAGGTCCTTCAGCTGAACATGATAATTTAATAAACTCTGTTCATACAGACTGTGATTTGTTTGCTTTCAGACTTAATAAAGGTGCACAGAAAATAGTTTGTCAGCATTCAGGTTCCTGTTTGTGGCGACATCCATTTAATATACAGAAAAGCACTCACAGGCTGACTGCAGTCATTGTCACACTTTCAATTTGAAAAAATCTTTTTGAAATTCAAAGTTGTTTTAGAATTGTACAGGTTTTTTAAAAATATATTTAGGACCAAAAGGGTTTTTTAATGTCCTGATACAATAACTGTATTTTTAAATAGTTTTGTGGAGTTGGGGCATTAAAATAAAATCAAGCCGTACTTTTTTTCTATTTTTTAAACTGTTATTTTAGACTTAAGTTGTTATTTTTACTGAAATATTTAAAAAAAAAAATTAAAATACTGTTGAATGACTTTTTCCACAACAAACATTTAAATAAGTATAAAAAAGATTCCTTGTTAGTGTATTTGTTTAGTTCCGTTTGTAGTTTTTCTACAGCGGGACCACGCCCCTTTCATTGTACGTGGTGACGTCAGCGCGAGCTCTGCTCCTGTGCTCAACACATCGAGCTGTCATCATTTTACCGGGAGAAGCGAAGGGCATCCGGGATACCGGCCGAGAGGGAGCCCAGCACTGTGCTTGGAGGTCAGTACCGGGCATTTAGGGGGGACGCTGGGCCGTGAGCGAGGACACGGTCCGACCTGCGGGCTCACTCGGGGGCGGGTTCCGGTTTTGATTCGTGGAAAATGAAAACCGTCTGGACGAATGCGAAGATGCCTTGTTAGCCTGCTAGCCGCGTGCTAGCCGCTACGGCCTTTTAAAGTAACATTTGGAGCGAGGCCGTCCGTTTAAAGACTCCATAAGCGGAGCAAACGCCTCCACTGAATGCAAACACAGAAACTTATTCAGAATGAAACTGCTAATAGCTGTTAATTTAAAGCAGGGGCGTTTTGTGAAGCTAATCAGCTAATTATATAACGCGCCGCGTTAGCGCTGAAGCTAAGCGTGCAGTTAAGAGTTTGCGCAGTGAGAGCCGCTCCGTGTGGCGTCACACACAGCGGGTTTTAGCCATTATGCATTCAAAACAGATGATTTTACGATGTCTGGGGAACACGGCCAGGCATTTTCGGGAACTCATGACTCGTGAAAGGACAAAGTGATCGAATGTCCGGGTGGCCAATAGAGAAGTCTGGATTTCTCAGAGGCAGCCAGTCAGGAGGCGCGGTAGGCAGGTAGTGGGCGGGTCCAGGCAGGGTTAAGGGGAAGGAGAGCAGGCTGGGAGTGGAGCCCCAACAAGGTCAAAACAAAGCAGAAAGTCCCGGTGGGGGGCGAGAGCAGGCCCGTGGGGGGCTGGGAGGTGACCCCGCCTCCCAGAAGGACACGGTTCCGGTTCTGTGACTGGGTTCTGAGAAGGCCTTGGAGAACTTTAACTCCTTGAGTTCTGTGAAGATCTGCAGAAGACTTCAGACTTGACCCTGTTCGCAGCGTCAGCACCGGTCAGAAGTATAAAGACACCCAGTGTGACACTGATCTCTGATCAGCAGTCTGCGGGATACATGCGGGTTTCCAGCATCTGTGCAGCTGTTATAGGAAACGGCAGGAACAATATGACCTGCGTGAGTTACAGCTCACTGTTTTGCAAGTTGAAATAAAAGGCAACACCAGTTTAAAAGATTCCCATCAATCCAGAAAACTGCTGGGAGTCACATGACCAAAGAATTGAGATGTTCAACTTGCGAAGAAGAAAAGCTCCCAGGATTGTAATAAATATACTTTAACTAGTTTGGTTTAATTATCTCAGGCAGAAAACATATATTGTTTTTCACAAGGTCATAGAAACAGGAAGTGCAGACTCTGCTCACTGTGTTGAGCTCACATTCACACTCTGCTCCGTTTTGAGCAGGACAAACCCTGCTGACCTTGCAGGACCTCTCAGGCCTGTTTTGTGGTGGAGTACCTATACGAGGCGAGGTACTTTGCTCTGGGGCGGGTATTGTTTGAGATATGAGCTCAGCAGTCACCAACACAGCCTACTGACCAATCAGATTTCTGGAAAAGAGCGTCACCCTTACTGGAAGATCCTCTGTGTAGACAGTCAGAGGGTCTGAAGGTGTTCTCTTTATCTGATGGAAGAAACTCAGGAGGAGCTCTGCTGCTGCGTCCTGACCTCATCAACATGTAAACAGACTCTTTGTCCTCTCAGAGCATTTAATGCCAAAACTAAAGATTTTTAATTACCACAAGAGTGGCGAGAGGGTTTTAATCACAGGCGTCTGTTCAGTCACAATTTTACTGGTTTCCTTCCTGCTTTGGATAAACTTTATTAATCCAGCAGCTGTTTTCCAGTCTGACTGAGCAAAGCTCACACATTCATGCAGAGTTTTTAGGCCTTTACTCTCTCACACGCATGTGCATGTTTCTGATTGGTCAGAGGCTCCAAACTGTGTCTCTTTCATGTGAACACTGATAAACCTGTCATGTGACCCCGCCCCAGTGTGATTGATAGTTAGCGAGTGAAGCCAGATATGGAAAGATATCCTGGATACGTTGACCCTCATGCAGGCTCTCTGCTGGTTGGTGAAATTTAAAACAGCAGCTAAAAGTCAGACATGGTGTGAGGAGGCTGTGCCGTTTTTATCAATAATCAAACTGTAGTCGTTATTTCTGCAGTGTGTTGTTCTGCTGTGCTTCACAGAATTTCCTCAAATCAGGAACTTTAGACCTTTAAAGGAACAAAAATCAGAGGCAGAGACCTCGGTGTTCTCGTAGTTTCACAGTGTTTACCTGGAGAAGGGTGAGATGGCACGTCTTGTGTGTGAAAACAGCAGGTCTGTTTTGAATAAACTTTATTGCAGGGGAACAAGGTGTTTTTGTTTTCCTTCTGCAAGTGCAGTCATGTGACTGCTGGCAGCGACCTGCACAGAAAGTAAAAGCGTGCGATGCACCGATCTTACAGGTCGTTCCTGGAGCGCGGCGCCGGCCTCTGATGTCAGGAAATGTTGCTCACATGTTTTGGACTGAAGTTCATGTCTGTGATTGGTCAGTGATCTGTGACCTGGCCCTGAGCCGGCTTCTCGGGGCCGATTCAGTCGGGCGCCACTGATTACTGAGTGCAAAACCACCATTAGGTCATGTGACCGTTCCGCCTGATGTAAAGAGATCTTTAAGCGCGCACTTTTAACGTGTCTGTCAGGCTGTCAGAGCTCCAGCAGTCAGACTTGAAGCCTCTGTTCATAAGGAGGTGAAGTAAGTGCGAGTCTGACAACTGCTGTCTGTAAATCTGAACGTTAGCATCTTTAAATCCACTGTGCCGCATTTCTGAGGACGCCGTTTGTCAGGCGCCGCAGATCAGCCCTGACTCTGACATCGTGTTCCTCTGCAAACAGCAGCTCGAGTCGGCGCTCGCAGTGTTATTAGAAGCTCGTCAGACAGAAACCGCCATCGTTAAATCCTAAAGCACAGCTTTCTCTCACATCTCATTTGAATAAAGGTGACTGTGGTCTGGAGAACGGGGGCTAATTCTCTCTCTTCTTCTCTCAGTGGACTGACGTGGACGTCTGACTGCTTCCTGTTGTGGCACTGACCTGCTTTTTTCTTCTGCGTCGTTGTGAGGTCGAGGACGTCCGGACTGTCGGACCGAAAGTCACCGCCGTGTGTGATACTTTAAGGACTGCTCATGCATCGTTTAAGGACTTGTGCGGCGCGGTTGCGTCCGCTCACCGCCTCGCAGGCGGCTCAGACTGTCGGCCAACAGCGGCCAATCACAGTCACCTCCACGGGTGGCAAAAGGACGTTTCAGCCAATCAGGTGTTACACAGCACCGGTGGCCTCGGAGCCGTTCCTGAATGGGACGAGCTCCAACTATGTGGAGGAGATGTACTACGCCTGGTTGGAAAATCCCAAGAGTGTTCATAAGGTAAGGAGCAGTGGAGCCCCTGCAGGTGTGGAGTGGTCGGTGCAGAGGTTGGTTTGATTTTACTGCTGGCAGCATCGATGCAGGACAAACCCTCCAAAGGACTTCAGCAGCATTTCAGTGTAATGGGACATAAACCCAGAACCCAGACAATCAGAAGTTAAAGGTTTGGTGATTTTGAACACATAAAAACAGCTGCACACCCAAAGCACCTGCAGCGTTTCCACAGTATTGATAGATTCCACACACAGAAAGTGTCCCACAAATTTAAACCCTAGTGGGAGTGTCCTTTAAGAGGGTCGTTGACCCACTGTTGAGCATGCGCCCCATCCCATGAGCCGAGGTGTGGAAAAGGGTGTGGGCCACTATCAGCAGAGGTTTCGGGTGAAACCATTGTGAGGCCCACGTCTTTCAAAATGATGAAGATAAAAGTTCAGGGCCCTCTAGCAGCCCCGGGTCAGACAGTTTTAGGCGCTCACGTACAGTTTTATATTTTTAAATATTAATATGATGTTTTATTTCACTTGAAATGTAAAAAATAATGTTCTGAAATAAAGAAAGTGTCAGTCTGCCGTCGCCCTGACTGAAACCGACTGAGCTGATACTTTCACTGCACATTTGTCTCCGTGTAAAACAAGCAGCTCTGTTTTTAGTGGCTAACGTGGAGGAAATGCTCGTGTTTACTGAGCCGTGCAGTAAACAAAGCATTTAAAGAATTTGCATGAAGCATTTTTAGAAATGTTCCATTATTTAAAACTACCATCACAGGTGAATCTTCTCTACAAGCATGCTTTCTTCTGATTGGCTGGATTCTGGAAGTACGGAGAAGGGCAACAACCACTCTTAGCGGGTTGTACGGTTTTTGTCAAAGATCACCGTATAAGGAGATCTGTGACGAGCTGATGTCAGCATGGCACGAGTAGAAACAAGTGGAAGTGAATGTGTAGGGCAGGCTTGACAGGAAAAACTGCATCGTTAGCTCGCCGCTATTCGCATTATGTCGCTAAACTACTGAACGCTCGGGAAACGTTGGCCAAACCAGCAGTGGCACATTTCTTTATTTTCTCCCCGTACTTCATTTCCTGAGGGTTCGATGATAAACACGATAAAATGTGAGAAATGAGCAGAAGATTAAAATGTGATTGGCTGAAAACT